GTGTGTGTGTGTGCGCGAGTGAGTGTGTGTGTGTGTGTGTGTGCGCGAGTGAGTAAGTGAGTGAGTGTGAGTGACTCACTCCACCATCCTGATGAAGTCTCTCTGGTCTTCAGGCACATTACAGAATCCCATCCCTGCAGTGGGCGTGTACAACACTGTCCCCGCCCCATTGATCTGACTCCGCCTTTCCTCATACTGCTCCCTCAGCTGAGACTCCTCCTCCTGCGTCAGGTACGGGATCCCTACGGCAACCACAGCTGTCAGTCAAACACATGGCAGACACCACCCACCAATCACATGACAGGAAGTCAAACTCACTGACCGCTGCGGAAGACCTTGTTGAAGTCGAAGCCCTGACTGGCCAGGAAATCAATGCTGGAGCTCTGGAGGAAGATGATGATGATGAGGATGATGATTCATGAGCGTCAGTCTGGTTTATCAGTAACTAATGACACAAAGGGTCTCTCACCTGACAGATGAACTTGATGTCCGGAGACGTGCGGCTGAAGGGTTTGGGGAAGATGTAGAAGTTGAAGGCTTTAGTGACGTACCTGTGTGACGGAGACAGATCACTGTAACATCTACAGTCCTGAGCCGTGAAAAACTGGAGGGACTGAAATCATTAGATCAGACACAGTGCTGGCACGATACAGAAGCCCAAAGAAGAGTGACAAGCACAGCTCTGATGCGGAGCAGGAGCTTGACTCACGAGGACTGATTCGGCTCGTATCTGAAGGTGCAGAGGCCGAACTGGAAGAGCAGGAAGTTCATGGAGTGCTGCAGGAAACCAGCAGAGCGTCAGCACACACAATTAAAAAAAAATAACGATCCATCATATGACTGTAATAATACCCAGTGCATTATGACTCAGATTACATGTGCACGGACTCAAAACATGCACCTGTTAAAAATCAAGATCATCCTGCGGAGTCTGAACTTCTGCATTATGATCCATGAATGTGTGCAATCATTTGTCTTGTTTTCATCACGCGATTGCTATATATATATATATATATATATATATATATATGCATATGTACTAATGTGCTTTTACGTGTCATATAAGAGCTAAATGAGCAATCAGTTGGTTATTTTGCTTAAACCCTGACAGTGTGCAGCAACATTACAGTAATATTAATACTGAACAGTGTGAGAAACTACAGCACTGCCATGATCAATACAGCAAATATATCCAGAGAAACCTGGACTTGCTCATGAAACTCATTTCAATGACATATTACAAACACTCACGAGAACTAACCCACAATCACAACTACAGGTGCTCCGATCAGGATCATCTATCTCCGGAAGCCTTCTTTTTATCATGCAGAATTATTTACAGTGGGGCAAAAAAGTATTTAGTCAGCCACCAATTGTGCAAGTTCTCCCACTTAAAAAGATGAGAGAGGCCTGTAATTTTCATCATAGGTATACCTCAACTATGAGAGACAAAATGAGAAAAAAAATCCAGAAAATCACATTGTAGGATTTTTAAAGAATTTATTTGCAAATTATGGTGGAAAATAAGTATTTGGGCTGCAGTCAGGATTGTTACAGACATTCATTCTTAGGTGACTCAATAGCTTCACGCAGCACAAGCCGGATTGGTGAGCTGTATGTGAGGCGTTTGAGTGAACCATCTCTAGGAGAGCGCGCGAGCGGTTTAAAACACTGGCAAGACTTAAAGAGAAGTACAAATTATAAACATCAGTGTGTCTGTGAGAGAGCGAGAGAGAGATGGAGAGAGAGGGAGTGTGTGGGAGTATTAATGCGTGTGTGTGTTCCTTACCTTCCTCAGTTTAGTGTATCTCTCCTCTGGTGTATCAAGTCCATTGGTCAGAGCACTTACTGACGGCCCATCACTGATTCCTACAACAACACACACATTAATACACACACACACACTCTTAATACTCACTCACATTAATACACACACACTCTTAATACTCACTCACATTAATACACACAGAGAGAAAGAGACACACACACACATTAATACACACACAGACCCGTGAATTCTCCATCTATAGAGATGAAATCCGCCTCCTGCACAGCGTTACACACCTCTGGAAGAACCTCCTTAAAATCTACACAAGACACAGATTGATACATATTAACACATGTTCACAAGCACGACTACACTCACTCACACACACAC